ACTCTTTTAAGAGACCCTGCTACCAAATAATTAAATGGTGTTTACTACCAGCCATTGGCATGCATCTCTGTAGTGACTTGAACATAGAAACTGCAGAGTTGTGACAACAAACATGGCTCCCAGAAATAGTTAGGTCATGAAGCTAGACTCTCGGAAAGCCAAGGAAAAGGGTGGGGCCAGCCACCTCTTTAATTTTAGCCATGCTGTTTAGCAAATTAAAGACTCTTGATAGATATGTAGTAAAGATTGATTCAGAGTAGGAAAGAAAATATCTAAATGGTTTACAGTGTGTTTAAAAATATGCATAGGCTTGGGAAAGAAAAGAAAAAAAGGATAGAGAAATTCCTTTAAAAAAGAAATAGAAAACAAAAGAAAGAAAGAGAGTGGCTGGGTGTGGCTGGGAGCTGAAAACACTCGGGAGGCAGAGGCAGGAGAATCTCTGTGATTTCAAGGCCAGCCTGGTCTACCAGTGGGTTCCAGGATAGCCTAAGGTACACAGAGAAACCCTGTCTCAAAAATAAAAAATTAAAAAATAAAAATAAAAGAAATAGAGTACTAAAATCAGGCCATATAAAGATGGAAAATACACAGAGAGTCTGGCTACTGTATGTTATTGTGTTGTCTTTGAACTGTTTGACTACGGAAGTAGGAGCAACAGCTGCTAAAAAGACATTAAACTATAAATGCTGCTGTATTAATCCAACCTATATATTTTGAATATGCCTTGACTTCACATTTAATTCTAAGAATATGTTACTTTGGAAACAGGTTCTGCTTTTTTATTTTCAGAGAAGATGAAAAGCTGTGAATTCCTTCCAGATTAATGTAGTTTGACCAAGCAAGACTCCCTGAAGCAATGGCAAGATTTGGCCAGGTTTCTGTGTTTTCTCATGATCCACATGGGATTGATAGCACCCCCAAACAGCTGGAAGCAGTTTGTTTATAAATGTTTCATTTAAATTTTGTTGGTTATAAATGTTAATGATCACATTCAATCTCTTTCTAAAGAAAAAAGAGAATATAATGTAGAAATGAATACTTTGCATTGGTATGGATTTTGGTTTGTTGATACAAATTTAAGGTTAATTTTGTTATATGTGTAGTTTTACGCTTGCTTACGTAGGATGTGAGGGCGATCTGACTGCAACATCTGTCATCACCTCATTGATTTGGCTGATCTGGCTGACTAGGCAGGTGTGCCCTTCCTCCCTCACTGCTCCATGTGTGTCCCTCCCAAAGCTGAGCACTTGGTCAAAGAAGACAACCTTTCCCAAATAAAGGAGGACTGGTCTTCAGTCAAGAGTGTACGAGTAGCTGCTAGAACCTCCAAACAAGGCTATGTATATTTTTACTCTTGCTTAGGTATTGTATTTAAATATTTCAAATGAATAAATATTCTTCAAACCTTTCAAAGACCCACAGAATATGGCATTTAAAATGGTTTATTAGGGTTTTTCATAACAATGACACACAACTGTTCCTGGCAACAACAACTACATCAGACAGGAAGATGGGCACCAAAGAAACTCATTATGGAGTTTGCTTTCAATATGGCAAGCCTAGCCATTTGGACAAGAAACTGCTCTTGCCTGGACTGTTTAACTGTATGCTGTATAAACTGGACATACATGAGGTATAGGAAAGTGACTAAACTAGATGGGGTTCCTTTTCATGGAAGAGTCTGCCAGACATTCTTCAGGACACACAGAAAAATGACTGACAAACTGCCAATACTGGTGGCAGTTTGAAATTTTCTGCTTTATTGAGAAGTCTGTCAGACACTCTAGGCCTATGGGCTAAAGATGAATGAATGCCTCCAGCACTACACAGAAACTTTGGGTAACTGTCCAGACAACAAGCTATCTGTCATTTCTAGAGTTCATATATTATCTTTCTGAATTAAAGACAAGTATGGTTATCGTTTTCCTTAGATATGATAAAAGATAAGTTACATATGAAACTTTAGACTCACAAAGATAGGATAAATGACAGAATATCTTCTTTAAATTTTGCCAAATGTTAATGGACTAAATATTGTGAACTATAGTCCTTGCTAGATAACTGTTTTGTTATATATAATACTATGTTATAGTTAAAATAACCTCCCGTTTTTATTTAGACAGAAAAGAGGAGATGATAGGGGATGTCCTTCTGTATTTTGTGAATATATGTTTCTCTTACTGGTTAATAAATAAATGCTGATTGGCCAGTAGCCAGGCAGGAAGTATAGGTGGGGCTACCAGACTAGGAGAATTCTAGAAAGAAGAGACTCAGAGAGAATCTTAAAAGAAATGCCATGTAGCTGCCAAAGGAGTAACATGCAGGAGCATTACGGGTAAGCCACAACCTTAATAATTAAGAGAGAGCTAGCCAACAAGAAGACTTAGCCATCGGCCAAACAGTTTATAATTAATATTAGTTTCTGTGTGTTTATTTGGGACTGAAGGGTGGCAGGACCAGGATGGACAGAAACAATCCATCTACAACTATCATATTAAAATGATTAGATAACCACATATACACGTTAGTTATTTAGCTTTAAATAGTATCCAATAATATCCAATTAAAGAGTATCCAAGAGTATCTCACCTTTCATATTTAGAAATTGTCCTTTAAGATTATTCTGGGTAGTTAAACTATGAACACAAAGAGTTTATAAACATTGAAGAGCAGTAAAGAGAAGACATGCAAAGTTCAGCGCTTGCAGAGAATGTTTACATTTAATACTATGTCACAGTTCTTACAACCCCAAGTTAAGAACAAAATCCCATATTAAATATAGCATTCTTCACAAATATCTTCTAAATTTCATTCTTTTAAAACTTGTAGGTATAACTGACATAATTCTTGTCATAATCCATCATTTTATTAATATTAACAAATTAAACTAGAAGTAAAATGACAGATTTCAAAGGTTTTTTTTTTAAACGTAGCCTGTAAGGTTCTTTCCTGATGAAGAAAATGCCCTCATATGTACTTCAGTACAAAGACTATCAACGGAAACAAAAATAGTACAATTTTTTCAAGTGTCTGTATACATGACACCATGTTTCACTGTTCCACTCACTTCGAAAATGGTCATTTTATCCAAAAGATCATTTAGAATATAAGACCTCATCAAAACAAGTGCTACAAACTATTATCATACCTTTGAAAAATAATCCAATTTGAATTACTAGTCTAAATGGGTCATTAACTCAGAGAATTAAAATTATCAGTGTAGGGTCAAGTCTTTTCCTAAAACATGTACATCCTGTTTGCCCTGTTGTCTTCAAAGTCAAACCAGAGGAAAGTATGAACAGGCAGAATATAGGAGTTTGCCAAGAGTCTGTTATTCTGCTCCTGAAACACTTATAAAATTAACAAAGCAAAATGACACAGTGCAAGAAAGAAATTTATTCAGGTAGGGAGGGTAGAGTGGTAGAAGGCAAGTAAACTCGTTTGCGTGCAGGAGGATGACAGCATGCTCATTCCTTGCTTTGCACATACCATATTTTCACAATAAACACAAATCAAAGTCAGCAAGACAAACCTAAAACTGGCACTCCTATGCATGTTATGCTCACATAAGCTTCACTTCCTTCATGAAACTAACAAGATGATGAACCTTTCCAGACACAGACACCAGCACTGGGAAGACTGAGGCAAGAGTACCAGGAGTTGACACCAGCTTCTGCTACACAGGGTCCCAGTCTCACAAAACAGGAACCTCAGCAACCCAGCACCTTTAGGTATTTACCCATCTTACACATTCTCGTAACTCAATGATTAAATCCTTCCTCTCCAAGAAAACTTCAAAAGTAGAATAAACAGTATCTTAAAACTAAGTTATCTAAATAATGATAATAATAAACATAAATGCAGATGTGTAATGCCAGAGACATTTAAGATCCCTCCAATCCAAAGGACTTCAACAATGTTTATGAACTCGAGGACCCTTGATTTCGGAAGAGAATGAAGGCAAGTTGGCAGAAAGGGTGGCTTTAGAAGTACAGTAGCAGCCAGTCTGGTTTCAACACTCTTCAAAGCCACCAGGAAACTCACTCCAACATTCTTGATTGAAATCAACGTTAATGTTGGTGGGGGTAGGGGGTACTTTCATATTCCTCAGCTGGCAACAATCGACTGACCTTGTACTGATAGGAGTGATATCCATGCCACTCTAAAGAGGCTAAGGAGACCAGCTTTCCCTTTGGCCACTTTCTTAACAACACTTCCCCAAAATGAGATCTTGAGAAATCCCTACTCCCTCAAGACCTCCTTATCTGTTTGGAGACCAAAAGAAAGACCTTGGCTGACAAGGTGATTCTGGAGGTGTGGTTTTGGAGACTGCTAAGGAAGACTCTAAGTTCATTTTATTTATTTATTTATTTTTAAGAGAAAAACGGGGTGAGATAAGCAAAATTAGGATTTACTCATTTGCCCAAGACAAACTTACACGCCCCCTTCACACACACCCTGAAAGCAAAGCAGAAATAATCCCAGGGAAGGGCTGAACAGGCAGGATTGATCCCTCTACTACATCAGCTCTAAATCCGTTTTTCACCTGCTTGTACCAATCTTCCTTAGTCCCTCAGCGCACGCGCGCGCGCGCGCACACACACACACACACACACACACACACAGAGAGAGAGAGAGAGAGAGAGAGAGAGAGAGAGAGAGAGAGAGAGAGAGAGAGCATCTCCAAGCCTCCACTTCTCGGCCCCCCTACCCCATCTTTAGTTCTGAGCGACTCTGCCCAACAACCGCTCAGTCTCCAGGGCGTCACTCTGGGTAGCGTCCCTAGCGCTCAGGAGGTTCGGGAAAAGCCTGGAGACCTGGCGCCAACGCCACAGATGAGGAACCCGGGGGTTCCTCCATCCACACCCCTCAGCCTGAGAAAGGATTAAGTTGTCCCGGACAGGACTGCAGAGCTCAGGGAGCGGTCCCTCCCACTCAAGCCCCTCCCGAGGTCGGACACCCAGGGGTCCCCGCCTCCACGGAGGTGAGCGCGCACTCACCAGAGGTGAGCTGCATCCAGGCACAGATCTTGTACACGGTGGCTGTGTTGCAGAAGAAGAAGAGGGTAAAGCAAAGGATGCAGGCGATGATGAGCATCATGGAGAGGCCAATGAAGAACGAGGCGGCTTTGAAGGCGCCTGAAGGCAGCGTGGAGAAGTCCGTGAAGCTGCCCCTGCAGGTCAGCTCCCGGGAGAAGCCGTTGCCGATGCAGTAGTGGAAGAGCCCGAAATAACCGGCTTGCGGGGTGTCCACACCGTCGCCGATCCAGTAGGGCTGAATGAAGCACACTACGTTAACGATGGCAAAGCAGATGGTGAAGATGGCCCAAAGCACGCCGATAGCTCGCGAGTTCCGCACATAGTTGGTGTGGTACAGCTTAGCAGCCTCCTGAGCCGGGAGCATCTCGGCGGCAGCAGCAGCTCCAGGCATTCTCTCCCTCCTCCTCCGCCTCCTGGCCCTCCACCTCCCCCCGCCTCTCGGGGATCAGGAGACACACTAGCCGCGCGTGCCTTGCAACTCCCCTGCCTCCGCCTCAGCCCAGCAGCAGCAGTTCTAGAGTCTGCATCCTCGCTCCCGGAAGAAGGGCGGGGGGGGGGAGCGTGGAACACCCCTCTGGCTTGCCTGGCACAGCCTCCACACGCACACTCTCCGCCTTCTCTATCTTCCTCCTGGCCCCGGCTCGGTCCTGCTCCGCACCCTCCACCCCTCTGCCCGATGCTGCAGCTGCTGCAGCTGCTGCAGCTGAAGCTGGCGAGTCCTCATGACCCCCCCCCCATTCTCTTTCCTGTCCCTGACCCTCTTTCCTGCGGGAGCTGCTGGTGCCCCGAGGCGCAAAGGACGGTGGCTACCCTGAGATGCTCCTTGAGTGTCAGATAGAACTGGCTATGGAGTTGGGGGAATCTAGGAGGGTGCCCACAGGAATCCTAGAGGCACTCCCTGGATCCTGGCAGGTGTGCTGCCAGCCACAAGGCTGACCCTAGGAGCTTTTCATCACCACACAGGAACATGCTTTGACCTCTGCATCTTTGTAGCAAAGAAAGAGGCAGCATGGCAGGTGCAGGCGAGAAAGGGGAGAAGATATGGTGCCCCAGAGAGGTTTCCCTATCAAAACCATACAATTTGCCCTGGCTAACTCTTAGGGTTCCCCCTGGCTCACAGATGGAGACAGAAGTTAGGTAGAAACCTGTCCAGTAATAATGTAGTAGTCAAGCCTGGGGGCTGATCTATTTCTAAGGAGCTTGTTTCTCTTCCCACTTTCCAACTATTCAACCAAATGAGCAATGGCCAACTGAAGCCCCATGCTTCACTGTTCTCTCCCACAGAACTTGCAATGGATGAAGCCTGCATGCACAAAAATGATTGTCAAAGAATTTTAGAGTTTGTTTGAAAACATCCGAATGTGTGGCAGGTGTTCCATTTATTACACAAATATTCATTGGCAGCTAGTGTGTGCTAATGATACAGAGGATGGCAGTGGGTAAGTGTCTTAAAGATGGTAGTATTCCCACCTCCCCCACAACCCAAGGCTCCAGTCAACTTCCCTGAATCATCAACAAATAAAGCCTTGCATAGATGGTATGTACATTTTGCTGTTTCCTTGTTCTATTTACTTTCTCCAGCATTGTCATTGCTCTTTTATTTTTCAACAGTCCTAGTTATCAAAACAAATTTCTCTGTTGCCATTGCAAACAGTTTGGTTTCTTCCTTGAACCCAGAATGCTCAATAGCAGGAATATCTTTTGGCACAAATCATTTTAAACCCTACAATTGCTGAATTCTTTGAGCAAATGGAAAGAAGAATGCCCCACAGACTTTCATCCTGAAGTCTGTGCTGCATAAATGACCCTTCACTGAAAACAGGTCCAAAGCCGAGGTCATAGAGACTAGTTAATGCTCTTCCTCAGATACCCTGAAGATTTGTAATCATGTGCTGGCAGGAAAGGGATGGGGCTTGGGATAAAGAACACACAAAATAATGGAAAGGCTTCAGCTGCAGTTGTGAAAGATCCGAAAGTGTGAGTGTGGGAATTTTACAGTGAGGTCTCCTATGGATATGTAGTAGAGCTATTACAGTTCAAGACCCATCAAATAGAGCTTTGAAAAGAGGGCGGCTTTGGACAGATCAGGGAACTGTTAGCTGGGGTTAGCCAGAATTTATCAGGTGTAGTGCAAACTTTCAAGAAGCCTTTAAAATATCAAAGCAATTTAGGAGAGAAGGTGACCTAAATTTGGAACACAACAATATAACACTTTATGTCTTTAAAAACGTAAGTGAAGAAGTTACATCTTTAGTGCATTGTAGTGACAGTCTGGTCAGAACTTCTGTTAGATCCCATTCTAAGCTCCCCTGTGCCTGGTGGTAAATCAGCATCTTAACTTGGGAGGAGGACAAGGAAATGAGAAGTAATGAGATTTGTAGGGCCAGCTGGCAAGCAGTGTGTCCTAGGGCAGAGACAGCTTCAAGGCAAGAATTGATGGTAATTCCTAGTGACTCTTCCAAGCCCTCAAATCCCCAAACCTGCTTATGTAAAGCAGTCTTTCTTTGAAATCACTGCCTTAAGGAAAACTTAGTGTTCCTGGGGCAAGGGTTGAGTTTGGAGATTGCTGAGAAGGGAAAGCTGAGAATCAAAGGGCCTAGTTATATATTGATGCTTAAATTGCCTTCACAGGACAAAGAAAAGACTGGAGAATGACTCAAAGGTTGTGAGTCAAGGAGCTTTTCTATTTGAGTACTGCCAAAAGAACCCTTGTTCTTATTCTGAGTTTGGAATTGCTCCTGGCTTTGTGCTCAGAACTCTTACATCAGAAAGCACACTCAAAGGTGTCCACTGTTGTCAAAAACCACTAAGAAGCATTCAGAACTGACAAGCTGTTAGAGAGCTTCTATGCCTTCCCTCAAGAATCCATCATTTCCAACCCTTCAGGTTAGGATCAGTAAGGTATGAACTGGACCATGCCAATAGAACTTCTATTTCCACAGTGTCTTGTACTATAGCAGACTTTCAGAGTGAAGTAGGGGTCTCCAGGACTCTAGGAACTAGGGATGAGCTAAAATGCTAAATTCTATTGTAGACTATACATATCATCAGTGCATGTGTCCTCTACCACTCTTCAAACCCCCTTGCCACTGCATTCCAATCTGTCCTTTGCCACCAGGAATTCCACAGTTAAGATTGATCCCATCCTTCATGTAAAATTTTTGACTTACATCACGTAGGTCAGTGGCACTCAACCTGTGATCCCTTAATACAGGTCCTCATGTTATGGTGACCCCAACCATGAAATTATTTTGTTTCCACTTCATAACTGCGATTTTGCTATTGTTATAAATCATAATGTAAATATCAGATATCCTACATAACATTTGCCCCCAAGCGGTTGCAACCAGTAGGCCGAGAAACAGTGATATAGATAGGTTTCAAGAGTTTGAACAGCTAAACATATACGAGACTCTGCAATCAGCCTATGTGACCAAGGACAGCTGTTTTGGGAGGAAGAAATAACAAAACTAGTCTGATTCCTGCTACAAAGTTGCTATTGATAGAAAGGTATTTTGAAACTATAACATGATTCATAAGTGCTAAATAACTAGTAGAAGTCTGTAGTTGACAGTTTAAGAAACACTGGATGCTGGAATCTCAAATCTCACTGTTAAAAATGCTTTTTTCTTACTGCCACAAAGGTTCAGTAGTGAAACTCAGTCTTCACACACTGGGACTACAAAAGATAAGAAAATGAACAATAGTTAGGTTGTGTTACCCTCCTGAGGTCCTAAGTGAGATAAAGAACTAATGCTTTGTCAAATTAATCTGACGCAAGCACAGGAAAATGCAACCTTGGGACTTAGACCTAGATCTTTTCCTTGCCCCTGGAAGCCCAGGCTCTTGGAGGTTACTTCTCCATGTCTCTTCTCTGGAATTTGGTGACGAAAAAAAAGGACACAAAATACATTCTAAGATTCCTTACTATTGTAAAATTCTATTTTACAAAGACTACAGTGACTTCTTTAGAAAATTTAAATGAGAGAAAGAATACAGCATTTGGAAAAATCTAAAGAAGACTTATCAGATCATGACAAAGTAAACATTTTATTCAAAATTGAAAGTCCTTTCTGAAATTGCATAGATGTAATTTTGCAAGCAAAGAGTGCTTAGAATTTCCAGATGAGTAATTGCTTATGAGCAAGGTAATAGAGAAAGAATTTCTAAATTCTGTTGCTTAATTGATTTTTAGAGTTATGTCCAAAGTCACTATTAGACCACACTGCATAATACAGAGATTCTAATGGTTAAGCTCTTCTCACTCCTGAAGGATTCCCTTCTCTCTCCTGAGCCATTTAGTTTTCTTTGGGATTGTAGAAGCCAGGAACTGCCACTTAATTAATCAATCTCTGGGCTAGCAGAGGCAATCAGATGGCCTCAGGTTTTAGCACTTTCTGAAAAATCAAGATCAAATTGAAGACCAGGTGTACTGGCTGGTTTTCCTGTCTACTTGACGCCAGCTAGAGTCGTCAGAGAGGAAGGAGCTTCAGTTGGGGAAATGCTGACATGAGACCCAGCTGTAAGGAATTTCTCAATTAGTGATCAATGGAGAGGACCCAGACCACAGTGAGTGGCGCCATCCTTGGGTTGGTGGTTCTGGCTTCTATAAGGTGAGCTGAGCAAGCCAGGAGAAGCAAGCCAGTAAACAGCTCTCCATGACCTCTGCATCAGCCCCTGCCTCAGGGTCTCTGCCCTGAGTACCTGTTCTGATTTTCTTCAATGATAAACAGCAATGTGGAAGTGTAAGCTGAATAAACCTTCCCCCATCCCAACTTTTTTCCTCCTTTGGTCATGGCATTTCATTGCAGCAATAGAAACCTTGACTAAGACACCAAGTAAGACGGTGCAGATAGTGTCTTGATGAGCTGGCCCCAGAATCTATACGGTGGAAGAAGAAAGCAGATGTCTGCAAGTTGTCCTCCGACCTCCAGATATACACCTGCCAGGACATGAATGTGCCTGCCCCACTCAAAGAAACAAACAAAAACAAACCAAATGCACCAATGTAAAATTTCGATCATTTATTCTGAACTGGTCTCTTGGAGTTTTCCAGAAAAGCCACAGTTTATTGGAAATGCATACTTTTCAAGAGGGGTTCCCACTGGAAAGCTCGATTTGGTTTCTCTCTCTGAGCATCTCTATATACAAATCTTGTCTCTCTATTTGACCAGCATTTACGTCTCTGGAATATTAGGTTGAGATGTTTTTAAAAGAATCTCTTCAAATAACATACCCCCAAATTTTAAATCTTACAATCCCAACACCTTTCTAAATAGTAAGAAAACCTTTCCATAAGGTTTTGTCTCTTACAATAATCACACGCAAAAAAAAAAAAAAAAAAAAAAAAAAAAAAAAACTAATATTAGTAGTTCAGTACTGTGGGCATAAGGGCACATGTCAACAATGTCTTCCAGGTTTTTCTGCAGAAGCTTTTCAAACTCAGCAGTGTGTAACAAAAGCCATTTTCTTCTCATCTACACCACATGGCTGTTTCTAGTTGGTTGTGGTTGTCCCATGTACTGGGCCTGACAGTGGATTTGTTTTG